GCACTTGGATGAAAATTGATGAAAATTGCAAATGACTTGAAACTTGTTTAAACTTATCTATATCTATATGGCCCAGATAGTAGCCAAGCAACTTATTTTCTTCACAGTCAAAAGTGGCGGATAAAAATTATCAATTTTATTCATCATTTAAATTGTGAGTAAATTACGTCGTTTACTCAATCCTATTCTTCTTTTCGCCTTTAAACCAGAATTTCTCAACCGCAAGTGGCCCCGAGGCTAAAATTTTCACTAATCATGTTTACATAGTCGTAATTGAGTCATATTATCCTCAAATACTTTAATTATTCGGACTTTCAAAAATTGGGGCGTTTTCATCCAAGTGCCCTTCTAATGGTTGTGGTGTTGTTGTGGCTATTGTAACGAATACTTACAATCATTGTATCGTTGTTGGTGTTTGTGTTGTTTGTTCCTAATGGCAACGTTGTTGTGTTGTGTTGTGATTTGATCCATCTGCTGGTGTTTGTATTATTATTATTATTGATAATTTGTCTTGAATGACAGTTATTACTGGCGATGATCATTTAACCTCTGTTTTTGGGGTGTTGTGAGACCTGACAACAATCTCATGGAAATCGACCCAAATCACGTAGCATACATACCCTAGCGAAGGAGTCAGCAGGATCTGAAGTAACACTGAGGCGGTGCGTGTCTCCTAGTCTACTCTGCCCATGGTGTAACACCTACAGAAAAAATAGGGTTTAACGAATGTAATACTTGCGCGCGCATTTGTTTCATCTCTGCGGTTTATTCCAAATATTCAAAGAATAGGTCGCTTGTATTATAACGTCATTTACTACCACTACCAGAATCCCTTGCCCACTTTCTTTTATTCAGTCAATTAGCACCAATTGTCTTACTATTCTCACGAGGAAATACCATTTGATAAGAAAGAAAATTCGCGAAGCACCTTGGTAGTGGGAGTCTAATGACACCAACATGGAAGCGTCCTATTGAAACCAATGGGTTAATATTTTATAATTTTGGAATATTTGTCATGGGTGATGAAGATGACAATGATCATAAAAATGCTAGCGATACCTCCGGGATGATAGTGTAAGAATATGGAACGCAAGGGATCTCTGGTCTTACTGTCGAGCCACTCGTTTGATTGAAACTCGTCTTAGACGTTTATACAAGTTGAGTGTCTTCTATAACCAGGTAATCTAATCTAAAATTCTTTTTACACCACGTATCTAGTCAAGTTCAACCTTAGGTTTGAATGTTTAGGTTAATTTGAAAGAGGTATGTAGAACAGGAAACTACAAGTAGATCTCCAAGTCAAAACAGTCTCGGTTACTAAACTAAACATGCTAGACTTGCAGGATCATATACAAAAAGCATTATTCCTGTAAACAAATCATTCCTAAAATTTTGTTGCATAACAATAGCCTGCGAATAGCGTATAGCGGCTCTCCGTCCGCGGGGTTTGGCCCAAAAGGGAGGGCCGTTCGAAGGCTACCGGGATAACAACAACCGGCTAATATTTGTTTTAAGATAGTTAAAAAAGACAACAAGAACTACTATTACCGTTATAAGATCATCCAAGCGAACAAGAGACTCCATTTCAGGAGGTGGGGTACCAGGCGTCTGAAACAAAAAATCAGGTCAGGACTGATGTAGACAATTTAGGGAACCCTTATATCCAGCTAAATGCTTCATGGTGAGGTGGGGGAGGAGGGAACAAGAACGATGAAGGGGGAAAGGAAAAGAGAGTCCTCTGATCGCTATCGAATATTTTATTATTTTTAACCCAAGCTACGCCATAATATCGCATGTGCACCAACTCAGAAACGGCTTACTTTCCACTCTAAAGTAATATATCATAGATTCATCACTCGTTTTAAAGGTTGTTAAATGAACACCTGTATCAAAGGTACTTGGATTTCAGTGGCTTGTGATTCAGCCAGTGGTATTGATGACAGACTGTCAGAAGATGGCATGGGTTGGCCTGTACTGATACTCAGAGCACGCAGAAATCCTTCCATTGGGTCCGAATCAGCCGCGAAATACATCAACTGAAATTCAACAAACGTAGGATATTAGTGTTTTGAATATGAAGAAGGAACGAGCTCACTGAGGAGAAAACCCTTTGCGACCTGGCGTAACTATTTCAAAAAAGGTTGGTGAAAGTTTTGGTGTATGTTGCATGTTGCATGTTGTATGATGTATGTTGCATGTTGTATGATGTATGTTGCATGTTGTATGTTGCATAACGTATGTTGCATAACGTATGTTGCATAACGTATGTTGCATAACGTATGTTGCATAACGTATGTTGCATGTTGTATATTGTATGATGTATGTTGCATGTTGTACGTTGTATGTTGCA